TGAATTAAGAGCAGTATGGATGATGATAAAAAATGAGCCTGGGCCATTAACCATCTGTACTCACAGCTGGTCTGTGTACAAAGGTTTAACCCTTTGGATCTCTCCTTGGAAATATCAATGGTGGATGGTAGGCCACCAGCCCCTGTGGGAACAAGCCATATGCCAAGAGTTATGGAAATTGGGACAAGAGAAAGAAATAACCCTTTTCCATGTCACAGGACACTTCCCCTTAGCCAGTCTGGGCAATGACGAAGCTGATGCCTTGACTAAGGTAAGATGGCTGGAGAGAGTCGCAGCCACTGATGTAGCCCAGTGGTTACATTGACAAATGCAGCATGCTGGCAGCAAAACCATGTGGATGGCAGCTCAAAGATGGGCCCTGCCCATAAAATGGGAAGATGTACTGAATGCCTGTTGCATTTGTCCGGTATGCACTCAAGAGAGAGAATACCCCCGATGAGTGCTGTATACAGATGGGCAAATAACTCGAGGAAGAGTGCTCCTAACTCAATGGCAAGTGGACTTTGTCAGACCACTGCCAAAGTCAGAGAATTCCAGGTATATCTTCACAGCTGTTGATATGGCTACTGGTCTTCTGTTTGTATGGCCTTGTAAGGCCCCAGACCAGGTAAGCACTGTGAAGGCATTAAATAGTTTTATGGCCATGTTTGATCAGCTTCTGGTCATCGAGAGTGATAATGAAACCCACTTTACTCGACATGAGGTAGAGAAGTGGGCTTCTCAGTTGTCTATTCAGTGGAAATTACATGTGCTGTATCTTCACTAGGCAGTGGGAATGATTAAACGGTACGATGGTCTTTTTAAAAAGGGACTAAGGCTATCTGCCTAACCCCCATCTCTGAAGGGTTGGACAAGGTGGTTATGGCCAACAGTCAGGATTCTAAATGAGAGACCCTGTAAGGGCGGGCCCTCTCCAGTGGAAGCTCTGTTGCACAGGGCTGCAGCACCTACACAACTGCAAGTCACAACTAAGGATGAGCTCTTGAAACCAGGATATGGTAGGAATTGAAATATTCTCTTACCAGTCACAATCTGTTTGCAACAGGGACAAACAGTACAGTAGAAATGGCCTTGGGGAATAAAAGTCCCCCCCCCCATATACTCCGGGTAGGCCTAATTGGGCCTTGGGAGAAAGGATTAGAAGAAGAGTTGCGAGTGTCACCTTGGGTGACAAGTACCTGGCCTCCCTGAGTAAAAGGTAACATGGCCTGGAACAGATAAGTGCTCTATTCTGAAGGGCACATTCGTATTATCATTATGGCCAATTATGAGTCTCCTATACTGTTACATGTAGAACCTACAGATCCAGGAGTGTTAGTGGATAATGTATGGTATCATAAACCAGGTAAGATATCTATTCCTGTGACCATCTTTTCTCAGGATGGCAAACTGGCATGCGTTCTACCAGAGAGACAAGAATTCCACCTATTGCTACCAAAAACCCTTTTGTCTTTTTGCCCATAGTGTTGTGGTTGCAGGCCACTGGTCACATACATGTGTTCATGTGGCCAATGTGTCAGCTTGCTAAATATGTGTGGAGGGTACTAACATTAATAAAGCACATGTATTTTACAGGGCCTAACTTTTTAGAATTACACATAGAAATGTTAAACTTGCAAAAGACAGAAAACTTTCCCCAGGCTAAAGTCTCTGTTGTAGATGAAGAATTGTAACACAGCAAAATTGCTGACTCTAAGGGCAGATGTCCCTGGTGCAGCTAAACCTAATGATTGTTGCCATAACAATTATCTTACTGTTCTTTTTGTAACCACCTATGTTCCTTTTCTGTAACTTTCTGGCCTAGAGAATTAATACTGAGAGAAAACCCTAGTTCGGGGTTATTTTCTGAGGAATGCTTCTCTCTTGTGGGTTCCTCGGAATTAACCCCTTTGGGGACTCTCACTGCTCAGAAGAAATGGGCTTTGAATAATCCTTTGTGTCTTCATTACCCTGGGAGAGGTGAGAAATATGCACTGAGCTTCACATCAGAGTGGCTGCAGGATTCCCATGGAAAATCACCCCAACTATGACTACTAAATGGACATATGTATGGGAGGGGTTTCATGGCCAATAGTTTAAAGGATAAAACTACAGGACAAGGCTTAAGGTATATTGAACAAACAATAGGTTATATGGGCACAAGAGTCAGCTATCCTCACTAAGGGAACATCGCAGAAGATTCTGAACATGTAGATTGTATGGCAAGGGACCCTGAACAGGTAAATTGTAGAGAAAATGAAAAGTAAATGGTCAGGATCCCTCAGTTGTTGGAATCTTTCTGAGCATTTGATGTAAATATGCACATGCACCCAGGTGTTCCTTGGTTATTGTCTAATGTGGTTGCGTATGTGCGTCCAGGTGTCTTGGGTTATCAGACTTGAGTATAAAGGATGAGTGGCTCTGATCCACTGTGCCCTTCACCCCTGGGATGCCCCCAGGGGCCCACAGGGAGGCCTCTACTGCTGCTGGCAGCTGTTCCTTCAAGCTGTTGCTGCCAGAGCCCCTGGGATTCCCCAAGAGGTCACTGCCACCACTGCTGCTACTGCTGCTGAAGAAGTTGAGGACTGAGCTCGTGTCATTGCCAATGGCTCCCAGGATCTTTCCCAATTACCTAGCATGGACCTGTGTGTGAGGGGCCTGGTGACTCAGCCAGGCATGTGAGGGGCCTTGTGACCCAGCCTGGCATGTGAGGGGTCTGTGACTCAGTCTGTACAACAGGTTTGAAGGGTCTGTGGGCCCTGAGCCCTAACAATACAGTGGGCTATGTCAGCAAGATTCCAACAACAACCGTACCCAGACAATTAGTGTAACTATGGCTGTAACCACACGGGCATTTAGGTTGATTCCATTTCTTGGCTATGTGAATAGTGTTGCAATGAACATGGAAGTGCAGATGCCTTTTTTACATAATGATTTCATTTCCTTTGGGTATATATCCAGTGGTGGGATAAGTGGGTTATAAAATAGACCTATTTTTAGTTTTCTGAGGAACCTCCAAACTGTTTTCCACAAAAGCTGTACCAATTTACATTCCCACTAAAATGCAGTGGGGGAGGGTTCCCTTTTCTCCTCATCCTCACCAGCATTTGCTATTTTCTGTCACATTGATAATAGTCATTCTAACTGGGGTGAGATTGTTGTTAATTTGCATTTCTCTATCGATTAGTGATTTTGAGCATTTTTGCAAGTGCCTGGTGGCCATTAGTATGTCTTCTTTTGAGAAGTATCTGTTTGGGTCCTTTGCCAATTTTTTAATTGGGTTACTTGATTTTTGGCTGTTGAGCTGCTTGAGTTCCTTATATATTCTGGATGGTAACCCCTTGTCTGATGTGTACTGTGCAAGCACTGTCTCGTAGCTGCAGGTTGTTGCTTCACTTTGTTGGCAGTGTCCCTTGCTGTACAAGATCTTTTCAATTTGTTTATTTATTTATTTATTTATTTATTGCATTAGTTGCCTTAGTCTTTGAGGTCTCACTCAAAAAATTGGTGCCCGCTCTCATTTTGTTTGGCTTATACAAATTTAAAGTTTTGTTTTTTTCTATTTCTGTGAAGAATGTCATTGGTATTTTGATAGGGATTGCACTGAATGTGTAGATTGCTTTGGGTATTACGGACATTTCAATGATGTTAATTTTCCCAACCCAAGAACATGGGATATCTTTCCATTTATTTGTGTCCTCTTCCATCTGTTTTTCACCAACGACTTATAGTTTTCATTGTAAAGGTCTTTCACCTTCTTGGTTAAACTTACTCCTAGGCATTTCTTTTTCTTTTTTCTTTTTTTTTTTTTTTTTGCTAGCTATTATGAATAGGATTACTTTCTTGATTTCTTCTCGGGCAATTTCCTTGTTGGCATATAGGAATGCTATTAATTCTTATGTGTTGATTTTGTATCCTGCCACTTTACTGAATTCATTTATTAGTTCTTTAATACAAATTCTTAAAAATTAGAATTAATTTTTTGGTGGAGTCTTCATGGTTTTCTATAGGATCATGTCATCTGCAAATAAGGATTGTTTGATTTCCTCCTTTTCAATTCTATATTGCTTTCTCTTGCTTTATTGCACGGGCTAGAACTATGTTGAATAAAATTGGGGAAAGTGATTGCTTTGTTCCAGATATTAGAGGAAAAGTCTCTAATTTCTGTCTGTTCAGTATGATTTTAGCTGTGAGACTGTCATACATGGTCTTTATTGTGTTGAGGTACATTCTTCCTATACCTAATTTGTTAAGTATTTTTATCATGAAGTGATGTTTGGTTTCATCAAATGCTTTTTCTGCATCTATTGAAATGATCACATTTTTTTCCTTTCATTCTGTTGACATGATGTATCCCTGGGATAAATCTCACTTGATCATGATGAATGACCTTTTTAATGTGTCGTTGGATTCTGTTTGCTAGTATTTTATTGAGGATCTTCACATCTATGTTCATTAGGGATATTGGTCTGTAGTTTTCTTCTTTTTGTTGTATCTTTTCCTGGTTTTGGTTTGAGGTTAATGTTGGCTTCATAGAATGAGATTGGAAGAGTCCCACCGATTTTAATTAGATAAAAAATAAGTCATAGTTATAAGGTAGGAAGAAATAAAACTGTTATTCTTAGATACTATGTTTTTGCAATATTTAAAATAATCTACAAACTATTAAAAAATTATGAGAGTTTTTAAGATGGATGTTAAAGAAGATTAGAATGTCCAAAGCAGTTACATTTCTATTTAGAAACAACTATTTATAAAGCTTATAAAATAACATAACTGTAATAGCAGAAACATTACTCAGGATTAACCAGGCCATTTGAAAAGCAGAAAAGTAAATTGAGGAAAATCACTTTAGTGATTATCAGGATGTATTATTAGGCTATAACATTAAACCAGTATAATGTTGAAAGTTAACATTACACAGAGGGTAAGAAAAAAAGATTGCGGATGTTAGAGCAATCTTACCCATGCCTGTTAAGGCCGTAATCAGAAACAACAACTTAGTATATATTTTTCCTGCAAATCCATTTTCTTTCTGTGTAGCATCTAGCTGTCGCTACACCGTCACCATTGAGATAAGCACATTCTTCATTCCCTCTCACAGTAAACCTGAAATAAAGAATTAAACATTATATACTAGGGAATCCTGTGATTTCTTCTTTGTCCAATGCCACCTTTAAACAAAAATCTTATCTATCCACAGTCCTGAAAAAGTGATCTATAACACAGTACTCTCTTGCTAGGGTTGAGAAACCTATACCAAGTTAAACCAAAAGAGTCTCTTTTCCATTTGAATTTGTTAAACTGACATTAGTTTACTTACATGTAATCAGTGGCGCTTTCAAATCCTTCTCAACTGGGGACAATAACCCCCCACCCCCCTAGGACACTTGGCAGTAGCTGGAGACATTTTTGATTGTCACAACTGGAGGCAGGGGACTGGTGGGATGTATAGCTACTATTATCTAGTGGGTAGAAACCAGGGATACTGCCAACATTCTGCTGTGTTCAAGAAAGAGCCCCCTTCTCCACAACGAAGAACTGTTTAGTACAAAATAACAGTAGTGCTGCTATTGAGAAACTCTAATATAAACTAAGTGGCTGAGTGACTGTAAGTCATCATTTGGGGTGTTTATGCAGATTTTTCCATATTGTAAAATTAAAGATATGAAGTCTAGAACAAATTGCATGATAGTGCAATTGCAAATAAAATCAGGTTAAAATGAAAATCAGGCTGAATTTGAATTGTAAAGACATCAGAAAAAGGTAACATGCCCCTTGAAGAAGAGATACAGAATTGAACAAGATATTTTAAAATGAGGCAAAAGTTTAATTTGGTGTTGTGGGAGGGCTGTGTATATGAATCTTTGTTTTCAAAGTAGCCAACTAGAAGATCTTCACTTTTCTACACGGATTTCCAACCTCTATGATTGGCTGTTGAAACAAATCTCAATACATGATACCATCTTATCTACTTCATCTTTCCAACATGCACAAAAATCGCGGGCTCTAGAGAAATTTAGCCAATTCATAGGTCCTAGAGAAGGTTGCACTATCTAAATTTAAATAATGCCAGATAGAAAGAAACTTACCATTTGTTAAATTTGGTTGCATTTATCCATTTTCCTTCTCGGTTTGCTGTCATCGTCAGGCCAATCCAGTGATCAGAAGTGCATTTGTAGCGGCTAAGAAAATGCTTTAGAAACAAAATTAATTTAAAAATTTTACTTGACAGTTGTTATTACAACCTATTGTGTCCCTTTTGCTTTGCAGGTGTGAGATGCAGGGCAACACCTGCTTAACTCCTGGCTTCATCAGAAAACAGCTATGGCATTTTGAAAAAGTACTTTTTCTCTGATCTTCAGTTTTCTTATTTGTAAAACCAACATGTGGGTAAATTTTCTTTAGATACTTTTTTTACTCTAAACTGATATGTTCCATTTGAAAAATCAGTTCCTCCAGGATTTTCAAACTATAAGGTTCTGGAAAGCCAGGGTTTGCAACTGACCTCTTGCCCAGCATTCCTGATCATTATATTTATTATATTGCTTTCCCACTTCCCAGTAAATATTAGTATTTTTAGTTTAATATTTGTTTCACTTTAAGTTCTCTCCCAATACTACATGCAGTCACACCCACACACACTCACACATACACCCCTCATATATTCAATTCCTTTAAAACTTAATTATTAAATTTATTTTTCTGCCAAACATTTGAATTTCTAAACACAGTATTCAGGGATAAATACAATGTTTTTTCTTGATATTTGTCCTTCTCATACAATGCCAAAATATTTTGCTACCTTAGAACCTTTTTTTAATCTTAGAATTATTACTATATATAGAAAGTCTCCGAGTCTCCTCTGCTACTAAAAACCTGGGAAACTATAAGCTTGACCTGGTATCACTCCATGTTTCAATTTAATGATAAATAAAAGGGATTTGTGCTAAGTCTCCACCCTTCGGTCAAATCCTATCCGATAAGTGACACTGATTACTTCTGAGTTTTTAATAAACCATCTTCTGCAGCAATTTATAAATTTACTTGAAAAAAAAAATCACTGGGCTAAGCTTTGGATTAATGAAGGAACAGATTAATAAAACATTGTCCCTGGATTCAACGGTTTTCATTTACAGTAAGAAAAATTTTGTTATAATGTTAGAAAATATTCTACTAGATAAGAAAAAGTAATAAGTATAACCAATACAAAGTAAAATCGGGGTTCTCAGAAAGAAGCATCTGAGTCTTTAAGGGAGCCTTGCACATAGGATGTGCTCTGAGGGAGGACTAGAAAAGATTTCATTGTAAATACAGAGGGTAAAGGAGAAGAGGGTGATTCATATTCAAGGTTTAGGGAGGAGCTTGTTTGAATTCAAAAGAATGTAAGAAAGGATTAACATATTGGAAACCAACAGGCCATATGTTATTGAATAACTGGTAAGTTTAGATGAGGCTCAGTAGTTGTGGTCTTGGTAACAGAGAACTAGGAGTTGTGTTTCCTGGAGCCCATCCTGTGAAAAGTGTTTATTATTTGCTCAACAAATGAATGCCTATGTAACTTCTTGTTAAAAATTCAAGAATTTTAAATAGCTGCAAATAAATTTTGAAAATATTTCATGAAACAAACTTTATCTTACGTTTAACTAAGGAAAATATAATTGTGTAATAAAAACATGTATAATACTTTAATTAAATCATTTTAAATAAACAATCCCTAAAAGTCCTTCAAGACACTGTTGCTTCCACTCTTCACAGACAGCTTTACTTCATTCTTGAAGATCTGTGATCTTCAAAATATATCAGGATATTACATGATCAAAGTATTTTTTCTTGATCCAAACAGTACACCCATTCTTACCTGATACATTTAATAATTTCTCTTATGTTTTAAAGTAATTATTTTTGTGCATTCTGTTCTTTATGTTCCCTGATCTTCACCATTTTTGTCATTCTTTGCTGACAAGATTCCTATAGTGAATGTTTGTTTAATATTTGTCTTTCCCTTCTTTATCCTTCAAACATTTTATTAATAGTCATTAGTTTTCCATCTTGCTGCTAATTTAGTCTTTTTCCCTCAAGAGGAACAGTAAGGAGCAGTCAGAGGATTTCTCAGAATGTTCATTTTCAAAAGTCTTACAAAATTTAGCAGTGATATTATTGACTAGAGAAGCCCTGCTATTAAATTGATCTTGTACCTTACTTCTTGATTTGCTGTGTCTACTCTTAACACATCTGTTTTTCCCCATTTTATTAAGATTTCCATATCTTTTGTTGCTTCCAAAATAGTTTAGCTTCCTTGCACTGATCTGTAAATTGGCTCAGCCTGATTCACACCCACTTAAATTTGAACCAATCTTCAACTAGATTACACAAATATACTTTGTTCACCAAAAGCATATTTGGTGAGGTAACAAGCAATTCTCTTTTAACAATGTTGGTTGCTGTGCTGCTCCACTTTATATTTGAAATACTTCTCAATTGCACATTATTTGCAAAAAAAAAAAAAAAAAATGAGTTACATTACCTCATATTATCCTTTCACTCTTAAAGAAATTAAACAAGAGTAAATACATATGCTTACCAGTAAGTAACTTGGGGAAGAAAAAACTGCAAATGCAGAGGAATAGAGTATTACAATCCCTTGTTAAAGTTCTTGGAGAGTCTTTCTACTCAAGAATTTTATCATGTAAATCAATATTTATTAAGCAAGGATCCATTAGGCTTTTCATTTGTAACTGACTGTGAAATACAGCGAAGGATACAATCTCAGTTAAGACATGGTGTCTGCTCACTGGATGCTCAGACTTCAGCCTCAGGAAAACTGTGCGGTGTACTACTTATTGTATTCCTGGTAGAGAGTGCCCTGATGGGGGAGGCTGCCATGGGACCTCAGAGACAGGCAGCAAAGCAAGACTGAGAAATCAGAGGAAAGTTCCTCAAAGGGAGTAGAATGAAGAATCCCATTCTTTCTAAGACACTTCTCTCTTTGTGGAGTACTGACTTTTAAGAGGTTTCCAAATACTATCAATCTCTTCTATTTACACCCCTTAAATTATAAAGATAGGTACCAACTGTACTATTCAATGCAAGTTTTACATACTTCAAGCAAAATATACCTAGGTATTTTAACTGTATCTTATATGCCATGTTCTGAATACTTTTAACATTATGCATAGAGAGGCATGTGTAAAAAGTTTTTAAAGTTATAATGGAAGTTGAATATTTCTAATGGTCCAAGTTAAGAGGATTTATAAGAAATGTATATTACATTACTTACCATTTCTTCCGGGGTGTCAATCATAGTTAGATCAGCTTTTTGAGCAGAACAGTGGTTTCTACTTAAATTCCAATCTTTCTCATCTTCAGAGAAATAATAGCATTTGTTTTCGAAACCAATCCATTTATCTTGGCAAAACTTCTGAGGATACAGTCCTAATTTAATTGAAAATGAGACAAATATATATCTAAGAGCCAGGTAAAACAATGTGCTGCTGTGTTTTGAGATCATTAGGCAAGGACAGGATTGTATGTAAAAGATTATGGTGAGGATCAGATTCGTATCTCATAACAGGTCGAAAAAATTTTTTCTGTGTCATGTTAGGTAAAATGACAGCAGTTCATAATTTAAGAGAGCACTTATGTATCATCCTCAGTAATATACAGACTTTCCACTAAAGCAACCAGTATTATTCTGCTTGACATTTTTGGATAAATAGAATATAATAGGGCCGGCCCGGTGGCGCACTGCTACAGTGCGCTGCTTGGGAGCGCGGCGGCGCTCCCGCCGAGGGTTTGGATCCCACATACAGACTGGCCGCTCACTGGCTGTGCGAGGTGCAGGCATGACACCGAGGGTTGTGATCCCGTTGCCGGTCCCGGTCCGGTACGGGCGTGACACTGAGGGTTGCGATCCGTTGCCGGTCACGAAAAAAGACAAAAAGGGAAAATAAAAGAATATAATAAAGTCCTAGCATATTCCGGGAGTAATAAAAATACTTACATATTAGACTGTAGTAAATCAAGGATACTTGTTTTAATCTCCAAGGAAGCAATAAAATAATAAAACAATATATAACAAAATGTTGGATTGCATGTTTTCAACTACAAACCACCGTCACTGTACAGTTCTGGGTTAGCCATTGAAAAAAACCAACATGAGAAATGGAAGGCGGAAGTAAAGCCAAAGACATTATCGTTGGAAACCATGAACATAGGAGCTTTATAGACCTTTCCATGAATCCCCTTCTGCAGTCTTGGCAACTGGATGTCTTAGCTTCTTGGACTTCTACTTCCTAGAGTCTCCAAACACATTAGTGCATTAAGCCAAATCGTTAGTGGCTATTTTTTTTTTTTCTCCAGCTACACATTCCCCAACTTCCAGGTATACATCAGTCCCCAGTTTCTCCCACATTCATGCTATCCCTAATTTCTATATTAGAGCCCTTGTTCTTGTACTATACACTTGTTTTTCTGAACCCACCCAGACTGAATTAGTTTTGGGTACAAAATGCATCATAATAATTGGTAAGAATCAATCCTCATAACTGTGATTATCCTTACTGTTCAGTATATAAATTGAATTATTTATACTGAAATTTATATTCCAAATATCCTTTAAACCTGAGGAGATAGAGAAACTACACTTGAAGTGGCCAAACCCTGTCAAGAAAGAACACAACAAACCATGTAGAAAAATATTTCAGAGAAATAGTTCACAGTTTTTCTCTTATAACATTGACAAAGAGAGTAAAACAAGATTTATGAGAATTCATTTAGTGAATACCCTGCATTTCACAGATTATTTTTTAATTTTCTGATATATTAATAATGGTAAGCAATAAATTCCAATAAATTAAGCACACATATTAAAAATATCACATATTTATTTTATAAGATAGAATAGATAGATAAATAATTATCCAAAAACATTAGGAGAAAGAATGTGGAAGGCAGTCCAAATTCAACTCAGACTCAATTATTTCTCCTCAGCATTATGGGATTACCTTCACAGCTTGTATTTGAGGCATATTAAGGTTCAGAATTATGGAGGAAAAAAGGCAAAAGATCTATATGATGTGAAAAGGAAACAGCAGAAGTAAATGAATCCGAGATTTAAAAAAATGCAAAAGATTGATGAAACAGAGAACTGATTTTTCAAAGAGATAAATGAAACCAATAAACCTACAGCTAGACTAAGAAAGAAAAGAAGAGAGAAGACAAATACATAAAATCAGAAATGAAAAAGGGAACATCAGAAGTGATGCCACAGAAATACAAAGGATCATAAGAGACTACTAGGAACAACCATATGCAAACAAACTGGAAAACCTACAAGAAATGGATGAATTCCTGGACATAAGCAATTTACCTAAGTTGAATCATGAAGAACTAGAAAACGTAAACAGATCGATAACAAGTACTGATGAAGGGCCGACCCCGTGGCTCGCTTGGGAGAGTGCTGCGCTGGGAGTGCAGTGGCGCTTTCGCCATGGGTTCGGATCCTATACAGGGATGGCCAGTGCGCTCACTGGCTGAGTGTGGTGCGGACAACACCATGCCGGGGGACAGGTCAAAAAAAAAAAAAAAAAAAAAAAACAATGTCCACAAATATGGGGGGGAGGGGTCTTCAAAAACATTATGGAAAATGCATATTATGAAAAGAACTATGCATGGATTGCAAAAATTTTTTTGTGACAAAATGAACCCATACTGACATGTCCAAACAGGATCTAGTTTGAGGCACTAAGAAGGATAAGACATCAGTTTGAAAAGAGCCCTTATCAGAGCAGCATGAATTCTGCTAAAATTGAAGCAAGAACAAACATCAAATTTATGGTTAAGCTTGGGTGAAAAAACGGTGAAATCATTGGTGCTTTACAAAAAGTCTATAGGGACAATGCCCCAAAGAAATCAGCAGTTGACAAATGGATAACTCATTTTAAAAAGAGATGAGATGACGTGAAGATGAAGCCCACAGTGACCAACCATCTACATCAATTTGTAAGGAAAAAATTAATTTTCTTTGTGCTCTAATTGAAGATGGCTGACAATTAACAGCAGAAACAATAACCAACACCACAGACATCTCAACTGGTTCAGGTTACATGACTGTGACTGAAAAATTTCACTTGAATTAACTTTCTGCTCCATGGGTGCCAAAACTTGAGACCAGATCAGCTGCAGATGAGAACTGAGCTTTCGATAAAAATTTTAAACAAGTGAGATCAAGATTGTGAAGCATTTCTTTGAAGACTTGTGACAGGGGATGAAACATGTCTTTACCAATATAATCGTGAAAACAAAGTAGGATCAAAGCCATGCTTCCCAAGAGGTGGAAGTGGTCTAGTCAAAGCAAAGGTGGATCGGTCAAGAGCAAAGGTCCTGGCAACAGCTTTTTAAGATGCTGAAGGCATTTTGCTTGTTGACTTTCTGGAGGGCCAAAGAATGATAACGTCTGCTTATTTTGAGAGTGTTTTATGGAAGTTAGCCAAAATTTTGTAGTGAACACTTGGGAGAAGTAGTAAAACACCTGGGACAACTTCACCAGCGAGGTCTTCACCACTGCAGAGCTCCTACTTATCCCTTGCATCAAACAAGAGCAATTTTACAAGAGTTTTGATGGAAAACCATTAGGCATCCACCATAAACTCCTGACTTGGCTCCTTCTGACCTTTTTTGTTGTTGTTGTTTCCTAATGTTTAAATTTCTTTAAAGGGCACCCATTTTTCTTTAGTTAATAATGTAAAAAAGACTTCATTGACATAGTAAATTCCCAGGACCGTCAGTTCTTTATAAATGGACTAAATGGCTGGTATTATCTCTTACAAAAGGGTCTTGAACTTGATAGAGCTCATACTGAGAAATAAAGTTTATATTTTTCATTTTTATCTTTTAATTCCTTTTGTCCACAAAATTTTAAGTCACCATTTACTCCTACTTGCTGGGGAAATATTAAATATTTTTATGGATATTAAGAATGAGGTAATAATGTGAGCTATCACCGCTTCTATTCAACCTTGTGCTGAAATTTACACCCACTAAAATAAGGTAATAAAAAAAAAGAGGCATAAGTTTTTTGAGAGAATAAGTAAAGCTATTATTATTTGCAGATAATCTTAATGTTTACATAGAATATTCAAAATAATGATAATTTATTAAAAATAAATCGTAAACGATAGCAAGTTTGCTACATGTGATATATAGATATATACACATGAGGTCACTTTTAAAAGGTCATGGAAAAATGAATTAAAAGGTAATATGAAACTTTCCATGAAATTTCTGAAGATACCTCATACATATATATGTATAGATAGCTTCTATATGCTAGCAACAAGCTAAATAGAAAATAAATATAACAAAAAATACCACTATACCACTTAAACAATTGCATTATAAAGCATAGAGTATTTAAGAATAAGTTCATGGAAGAATATATATGATACCTACTCCAAAAACCATAAAATATTGCTAAGAGAAATTATAGAACACCAAATAAATGTTTTTAATGTATGATTCAGTGTAGTTAAGATGATGATTCTCTGAAAATGGACTATGGATTTAATATTACCTCAATTAAAATTATAGGTAGTTTATTTTGCAATTTAAAAAATCTAGAATGCCTAAGGAAAACTTGAAGAAAAAATAGGGTTAAAAGACTTAAACTACCAGACAGCTAGATTTACGATAAATCTCCAGTATTAAGACAGAGTGATATTAACACAAAGATAAATAAAATAAAGCAATAGAATATAGTATGAATCCAGTAAAAAAGACTTTTTCTTACACAACTGATTTATGGCTAAGGACCAACTGCAGTTAAGTAGGGAAAGTACGGTCTTTCCAATAAATTATTTCATATTGAAATGTTATCTGAATGTAAAAAAGGCATTTTAATTCTTCTGTCCTAACATTTATAAAAATAAATTTCAAGTGGAATAGAGTTCTGAATGTGAGGGAAAATAAAAACATAAAAAGATTATAATAGAAACCCTAGGGTAATTCTTCATTTCTTTGGAGTACAGTTAATTTCTTAAACAGTATGCAAAATGTAGTAACGATGGAGAAAAATAAAAAAATAAATTGCACTACCTAAAAATTAAGAACTCCTGTTCATTGAAAAACATCATACAAAGGGTAAATTTATCTTTGCAGTGGAAGATAATATTTATAATACCTATAAACTACAAAAGACTCCCATCTAGAATATTAAATAAGTCTTATAAATCAAGCAGAAGAAAAAAACTGAACAAAAATAGAGGCAAAATATTTGAACATACCTGTCACAAAATATTGCACCTAAACAAACTGTAAATATGAAGGTTCTTAACCGTATTTGTCATCAGGAAAATGTCAAGTAAAGCCACAGCGTTGTACCAACAGGCATTCATCAGAATGGGAAAAGATAGATAAAACTGACAATAAAATGTTGA